CTGGGGCCAGAGAGGAAGTGATATGCAGAGCGGGTGTCTCTCTGCCTGAACAGCTGCCCCCAGACTAGAGGGAACACAGGATCTGGAGTGGGCTGAGGGGCGTGCTCACAAGCTCCAGGATGTTGGGCACCTTCACCTCTCTGGGCCTGTGTCCTCATCTGTAAAATGGACACAGTGCTTCCTGCTTCATGGAGTTGTTGAAAGATTCAGGGCAGTCGCTTCATGGAGCTCATGAGTGGCTGGCAAAGAGTCGCTGCTCAGTAAACGTTCTTTTCTGTCCTCATCCCTCTTTCCAAGCAGCACAAGGTCTCAGCAGATGTGTGGAGTTGTATCAGCCAAGTGCCCAAGGCAGAGGGGGTCATCATGCAGTGCCTAGGGTGCAGGTCCTTGTCCTGTGGTCCTGATCTCATGGACAACGACAACCCATCAAGTCACCCAGGACTGTAAAGTTGTGTGTTCTTAGTAAGAGCTGCCCACCCCGCCCTAAGCCAGGTGCTGTGGGGGGCCCTGACATAGGACTTCTCTTAATTCTCACAACATGCCACAGTGTAGGTCATAATTGCCCATTTTGCAGATGAAGAAACTGAGGCTCTAAAATGTTACATCACTTACCAAAGACACAGAGGGAGAGAGGTGTGAAGAGCCAGGCTTGGAGCCCACATGTGTCTGACTTCAGAGCCTGTGCCTGGAACCACTGTGTTTAGATGCAGGTTAGGTGCTACTTCTAGAAGGTCAGAGGGGGAGGAGACGGAGAAGGGCTGCTGGGTTGGCCTGGGGACCTGTTCTGGAGGAAGAGAGCCTGGACATGGTGATGATACAGGAGACAAGGATGACCCACCGTCAAGGATGATGCTTTAACAACTGGTGGGCCTGGCAGGGACCGGGAGATGCTAGCTAAACAGGCCCACCATACCCATGGGTCCCCACTGAATCTCAGCCCTCCACCGCCTGCTGGGAGGATGAGGCCTGGAACAGGGGAAGGGGTAGGTCCTCCTGGGTAAAAAAAGTGTGAAAATAGTGATTATTGTGTATTAAATATGACAGTGACTTGTGTACCTTGAGGGCTGCCTTGTGATCACAGAGGCTGTCTGCTTCCCCCACGGATGGGGAAGGGCTACGTCTTGTTTTCAAGCCCCAGAGCCTGGCATCCAGTCAGTGCACAATAAATGTCAGCTGAACAGAATTGTATCCAGTAACTTACTACTATGAGCTTACACTTAGGTAGGGACAGGGGAGACTCCGGGGGGAGGTGGGAGCTGCACGTCTCATGATGGAGGGAGTCAGGGCAGAGGGAGGGTCTTGTCCCAGGAGCGGGGCTTGGAGCCCCAGGTAGGCACCCCTACCTCTTTCCCCTGCAACACCCCTCCTCAGAGGGCAGTCAGTCATTCAGGCCAGAGGGCAGGTAGGGTGGTAGGAAGTTTGTCGGGCCTGGGTTCTTATCCCTCTCTGCCATCTTGGCAAATCGCTCAAGGCTCTGAGCCTTAGTTTCTCATCTACCAAACAGAAAGTTCACATCTGCAGTCAAGTAACATCATGATGTCACACCACTGAGCACCTGCCACGTGGTGCTAAGCCCATTATTGTGTTATGTGAGTTAACCCTCCCAACCCTGCTTGGAGGAAGCTTCTGTTTTTAATTTCTATTTCCAAGCTGGGGACAGCAAAACTCAGAGAGGTGGAATAATTTGCCCAAGACCACACAGCAAATGAATGGTAGAGATGGGGCTTTAACCCAGGCAGGCTGGCTCATGAGTTCTCGCTCCTAACCCTGCTCCCACAAGGCACAGCACCATCCCTGGGATGCGGAAGTTGTTATCAGTGCCCTCTTCCCCCACCGGCTACGAGAGCAGGCCAGCCCCTGGGACACCCCAAGGAGGAGGGGAGGGAGGAGAGGCCAGGGTTCTTCCTGGAGGGGATCCCCCAGCAGGAGGATTGAAGGGGCCTTGCTGTTTTGTAGGTGGAGAACCATGGAAGGTGACTGTCTAAGCTGCATGAAGTATCTAATGTTTGTTTTCAATTTCTTCATATTTGTAAGTATTCCCAGAACTTGCCTCGGGTCTTTCTAGGCCTCTGTGGGGTGGGCAGAACTGACTCCTGCTTGGAAATAGTCACACTGGGCTGAGTCCCAGGGACAGGATCCAGGGCTGGTGCCAGAAGCAGCTCTAGCTGCCCAGCCAGGAGTCTGGCAGGGAGGCCCCCCAGCAGTGCCCCCCATGCCCTGACTCCTAGGGCCCACCATCACAGGAGAGACATTTTGCACAGCTTCTGGGATGGTTCAGCTACTCTAAAAAATAAAAGGATAGGGGCCTTGGTCCTGGCTGCTGTCTTAGGATCTGACCCCTGGTAGGGAACTGGGGAGAAAGGGGGATGGGGTGATCAGAGGGCAGCAGGGAGCCCCACCCTGACCCCTGGAGCAATTATGGACATCGGAGCTGGATGGGCTGAGCTGATGCAGCCACCTGATTAAATCTGAAACCTCTCTGGGACGAGAGACCTGGGTTCCATCTCTGCACCCTACCAGCTCCGTGATCTGAAGCACATTTTACCTCTCTGAACCTCAGTATCTTCATCCCTTCATCACCAACCTCAGTGGGGTTATTGAAAATGAAGCAAGATTAGTTTAGGAAGTGCCTGGAATGTGTCGCCTCCATCTCCATCCAACCTGTAGATTCTGTACGTGACAGAGCAGAGGCCCCGAGAGCTCCAGTGCCCTGCAGCACAGTGTGCCTGATCTGCTCAGGCCCAGGGCATGGCCCCGGAGCAGAGCCGGGTCCTCTCGTGACCCCACCTCAACCTTTGACCTAGTGCAGCGAAGACCCGGAGGAGTGGACATCCACTAGTCTCCTCTAGGGTGGAGTCACTATGAAAGGGAGGCCCCTTCTGGTCAAGACTGATTCTGTCTGTCTGTCTGTCTCCATTTATTTTTTATACATTTCAGCAACTCTCCTGGATGCCCTTCCCTGCCCCTAATCCTGAAGAGTAGGGAGACCCACAAACTGGAATTCTAGACCTAACTTCCAAGCTGGGGACCTGGGTGACCCTGCGCAGCCCCAGGGTCCCCACCTGACATGAGGGGCCTGACCCCCACGTTGAAGCAGAACTCTACCTGCAGTGGTTAAACCCCCAAACCTCCAACAGCCAGGAGGAAGGACGGGGGATTTCCTGGAGGTTTGTGGGGAGACCAAGGAGAGAGGCATTGCACAGCAGACACCAAAATGTAGACTCTGTCATTGGCTGTCCCTGGGTCCCTCAGGCCTCTCTGTCACACCTCTGCCCAGACTGCACCTAAAAATGTATCTCTTGCCCCAAACCAACCAACTCCTCCCTGAGCTTACAGGCCCTTCTCAGCCATGCCAGAGCTCAGCAGTTTGCTGTCTTCCCTCAGGTCCTCTCATCACACAGGAATTTCAAATTCTTCCTAACCTTCAAAATCTGATAACATCAAACTATTTCTCCTGCAATGGATCTGTTTCCAATACTTGTCTGTGCCCAAGACCAATGGAACAGATGTATATTGAACCCTCTGAGCACATTCACATCCATTCTGTCCTTTTATTCCTTGGGGCCACCTTGGGAGGTGGGAATTTATGCCTTCTTTTAACCATGAGGAAGCTAAGGCTCAGAGAGGTGAAGCTGCTTCCCTAAGGTCACACAGCTAATAAATGACACAGCCCTTTCTCTAGACTAAGCTGCCTCTCTCCAGAGATAAGTAAAGCAGAGAGAGATGGGCCAAGGAGATGAAGACATAAACAAGGCTTTCTAGGAGCGGATTTGAGAGTGGGGGAGCCCCACCTGACTGAGAGCTCCTGTTGAGGACAAAGAGGATGGCTTTTGTCTGTACTTTCCTGGCCCCTAGCATGGTGCAGGCAGAGCACAGAAGTCAGAGCATGTTCACGGAGTTGGTGAGGGTCCTTAGGGTTAGAGTCAGGGAAGCCTGTGATTCAGCCGTGGCTCTGCCATGAATTTACTGTGTGACCTTGGGCAAGTCATTAGCCCCCTATGGGACTCAGTGTGGAATCAGAGGGTTGGACTGAATGACCTCATTATCCCACATCCCTGACATTTAAGGAGAATATAAGGTGGCAGGTAAACTCTACAGAACATGGTTCTTGGCAGCCTGAGGTGGGGCGTGGGTCAGAGACTGGGCTTAGATGATGTGTGATGTGCTTCAGGTCAGGGTAAACAGGGAAATTCAAAGCAGAGGAGAGTGCTGCCAGGACATTGGCTCAGGCAACAAATGGAGTTTCCGCCCAGTTCACTGGGCCCTTGGCGCCTGCGCCCCAGGGCCTCCCGGGGAAACGTGTGTGTGTGTGTGTGTGTGTGTGTGTGTGTGTGTGTGTGTGTGGTGTATCTAACCTCCGTGTCTGTTTCTCCTCTCCACTCTGGACTGGCCCGGGGAGCAGCTTGGGGGCGCCTGCCTGCTGGGCATCGGCATCTGGGTCATGGTGGACCCCACCGGCTTCCGGGAGATTGTGGCTGCCAACCCCCTGCTCATCACGGGAGCCTACATCCTCCTGGCCATGGGGGGCCTGCTTTTTCTGCTCGGCTTCCTGGGCTGCTGTGGGGCCGTCCGGGAGAACAAGTGTCTGCTGCTGTTTGTGAGTGCCCATCCCCCACTCCACCCCGGATGCCCTGGGGTGGGCAGGGGGGCCTGTGTCCACTCTGCGGGGGACTTGCCCTGAGGTCTGAGCCTAGCAGTCCATCCTCCGGGAGCGGGAGCCACACCAGCCCATCCTGACTCTGCGCTGGACCCACGCCTGCCGACTGGGCGAGCTGTTCCCAGCTTGACAGTGGTCTTGGCCCCCAGGTCTGAACAGCCAGGCTTCTCTGAGGCAGGGTCCACCGAGAGCATTGACTCACGATGCTTTTTTACCCGCTTGCTTTTAAGAACTCAAATATACAACTCCGTGGTAAAAGAGCTAAGATAGCTATTGGATAAATCATTCAGTTTTTGCATTTCCACTTGTAAAATAGAAGTGCAATGCTCTCTGAAGGTCCTTTATTCACTAAATAAATAGTCCTTGAACTGCTATTATGGGCCACATTGCTCACTAGGTACTGCATCAAGGCCCAAGGGTGGCCGTCCCCTCCCTGAGGGACAGGCAGTGGGAGGCCATTGAGTCTATGAGGATGAGGCGGGCAGGCAGGCCTGGGTGCGTGTGTGCGCCCTGCTCTGTCCTGTGACTAACGATATGACCCTGGCCTAATTTCTCAGCCTCTCTGAGCTTTATCGTCTGCTCGTTAAGAGAGGGGCAACCAGCTCAGCTGTAGGTTGGAACCAGACGAAGCCAAGAGTGCATGTTCTGTTTCTCTGGTCTTCGGTATTCACACGGGCTGTGGTCCTCTGGGCCTCTGCCTGCTTCCCTGGCCTTGGTGACAGGGCTCCTTCCCCTACAAGGTCCTGTGCTCTGTGGGCCAGGAAAACTGGATTGAGCGCTGTCCTGCTGCAGGGTAAGCTAAAAACAGCCCAGCTTAGAAAAGTGTGCGTGTAGATGGGCCAACTTGCAGGCATTCCTCATGGGTGAGCGGCTGGGGGGCAGGAGTTATGTGATGGGGAGACTTGGGCTGGTCAGTGACGTGGGCTTGTCAGCCGGAGGACTTCCTTAAAAGGGGCCTGTCCACTCCTACCGATGAGCCAGAACTAGTGGCTTGGGGAGGCAGAGATCTGGCACAATGCCTCCTCTCCAGATTAGAACAGACGGCTCAGCCCCCACTTGTGTCACAGAAAGTGAAATCAGCTGTGAAATGTGTGACACGGGAGCCCTGGGTCCCTCTGGCCTTGGGCAGCTGCCTAAATACTGCAAACTTTTCATCTGGAGAGAAACAAAGAAACCTGTGGGCGCCCCCTGGTGGAGGGCTCTGTACCACGTCGGATGGTGCTTGGAAAAGTCTGGGCTTGGGGAGCCCTGGGGACTTGGAAAGGAGCTGAGTCTGGGACCCAGGACACACCAAACCTCCCTTCCCCCAACACCCCCTTGCACCTTGGCCCCCGGGGCTCATCCATCATTAATGGGCTCATCTCTGAAGCCAAGACAGGAAACCAGGCTAGGGCTCTGGGCCAGAAGCAGACTGGGGCTCTGGCCCAGCTAAATGGCTCTCTCTGAGCCTGCCCCTGGATGAGGACATCACTGAGACCCAGGGGCAGGAGGAGGCTTGCCCCAAGACCCTGGAGAGAGAGTTAAGTCCTGGCTGTGACCTCCCGGCTCACGGAACCTTAATGTCGCCCCTTCCCACCCCTCCCTTCTGCCTTCTTCCTCGGTTTTGTCTCTTCAGTCCATGTGTCTCCCTTTCTTTTATCACTCTTTCTCTGCCTCTGTCTCCCTGTCTCTCTCTGCCTTTCTCTTGATCGCTTGTTTTCGCTTCCTGCTGCCTTTCCTGATCTTCTTCTGAACCTGACTTGCCTCTACTCCTCTCTCCCTGCCTCTCCTTTTACTGCCCCCTCCACCCTCTTCTCCTCCCCGCCCCTCCCCACCCCTTCCCTCCCTCTCCCCTCCCCCAGCACACACAGGCCTGAGGTCACAGTGCAGGGCAAAGGCAGGGGACTCTTGGACCCAGGTCTCCTGTCTCTCAGACAGGGCTGGCCCAGGGGCTCCTAATCTGGAACGGACTCAAGTGGTCCCAAACGCACCTAAAATTACATGCAAAACATTACGTCAGGGCCTCTGTGTGTGTGTGCCTGTACACGTGTGTTGTATGTGTGTGTGGTATGTGTGCATGCGTGTTTTTGGAGCCACTACAGCTTCTGGAAGGTTTTCAGAAAGAGTCATGACCAAAGAAATAAAAAGGACCACTTTCCCCTCCAACCTGACTGGCTGTGGGGTGGTTCCAGCTGAAGAGAGGCACCAAGTCTCACCCTTCCTAGCCACTGGGTTCCTCTGAGAAGCCTGAGATGCCTCCTCCACCATCGGGGAGGGAGAGAGGACTTGTCCTGAGAGAGGCCAGGTGGGAGCGACTTTAGCCACCTCTGGAGCCATGGCTCAAAGACCTGCCACAAAGGAGGCCTGGGAACAGAGTTAGCTGGGCGTCCCCTCCCCCTGCTCTGAGGCTAAACCCTGTGGTGTCCTGGTGACCCTTAGCCCAGGGACAATGAGCCTAATATCCACGTCACCCTATGATCAACTTTTCTGAAGACATTTTCCAAACACTCTCGTTGATCAATGTTGCAGTACTTTCTTGTACAATAGGACAATTTTAGCCTGTTACTGACATTTGTGGCATCCCCTTTTTCCTGGTTGCTTACCTATGAGCAGTTCAAGGAATGTTTTTAGCCCATTTATTTAAAGATTCACAGTTTTAAAATATTTTATAACAAAAACATGCTAAATTGGAAAAGAGAACAGCAAAAAGAGACGAGTGTAATTTGAAAGTGATAAAAGAGCTGAATTGCTCACAAAGTATGTACATTTGGTAAATATTTATTAGAAATGAGAACTAAAAGCAGACGTGCTGTAGGCAGATAGGTTAGAAAAGTCTAGAAATGCTCACGAGTAGGCAAAATAGCAGTTTCTTACCCCTCTGTTAATTCTCCCATCCTAAAGCAAAGTGTTGTAAATCTGATGTTCAGGAACTACTGGCGAATGTGTCCTTAGGCAAATGGGATGAGGTCAGATTAACTCGAGGCGAACAAACTCTGGGAAAGGCCCCGGTTAGGGGGAGCCCCAGAAAGCATCAGGACAAGCTCTATGGCGGGGCACAGGGGGATCCCCTCTAAATAACCAGTGGTAGCCCTGTTAAGCAGGAGGAAATTATTTCATGCCGGAGAAGTTGGCAGAAGCAACACTTACTGATGTTGGCCCCACAGCCCTGCACTTTCCTTCAGGCGACTCACACTCAAGTCACCCCTGGGTCCCTGTGCTTGAGGGGCCCTGCTCCAGGTGGGAGCAATGGCCAGGAGATCTGCAGACTCCCTTCCTCTGGGGAAGCCCGCTTTCCCCATCAATGAGTTGCCAGGTTCATTCTTAAATTTCGTCTCATGAATCTTATGCTTTGAAAAGATTCCTGAATCATGACTCTTGGTTCAATGGAAACTCCATGAGGATGGGGACCCCATCTGCCTTGTGTGGATTTGTTTGCTGGTCCCTAGCACAGTACCTGGCACAGAGTAGGTGCTCAATAAACAGCCCTGGAATGAAGGAACAGAGAGAAGGTAGTCTCAGAAGTATGGATAAAAGCAGGGGCTTTGGAGTCAGAAAAGTCTGATTCTAATCCCTGCTCTGCCACTTCCTGGCTGTGTGACCTGAGGCCAGTTACTTAGCCTCTCTGAACTTCAGAGTCCTCATATGTAAAATGAAGATAATAACACTTCCTTCCCAACCATAGTGTTGTAATCATGGTTCAGTAAGAAAATGTGTGTCTTACTTAACTCTGTTCCTGGCGCAGATAAGCATTTGAAAAACGTGGAACTAAAGGAATTGGCATTGATCCACAAGGGACCTCACAGGCCATCTGAAAGTCTTAAGACCTGGAAGCTCTTATGGGTTCAGGATAACATGGTGTTGGGAGGCTGTGTTCTGGAAGCAAAGTTCCCACGTTCATCCCAGCGGTACCACTTACCAGCTGGGCCAGCTTGGTCAAGTTCTCCCCTCTCAGGGTCCCAGTTTCCTCATCAGTAAAGCAGAGGTGCTGATGATCACAGCATCTGCCTCCCCAGGCGCCCAGAGGGTTCAAATCCATGTAAGATCCACAGCACTTAGGTGTTCAGCGCTCAATAGGTGATAGCTATTGTTCTTCTGGAGAACGCCCACGCCAGCACTTGTCTTCAGGAAGGCCGTGGTTCCTCTTGGTTCTGAGCCACCATCTGAGCAGTTTTCACGTTGTGCCAGTCTTGTGCACAGCACTTCAGCTGCATCATCTCGCTGAAGTGATGCTAAGTCCCCTGGAAAGCGCACGCACGCTCCCAGAGTGACAAGCATGCGGAGTTCACGAGTTCTGTCTCATCCATAGTTTATAACTGTGTAAGCCGCGATCGATAGCCAGAGACAGCTCAGTCACATTGCCAGGGTGGAAACCATTTCTGAGGCTGCTCTTTGCCAGCCTGAGGACCGCCAGCAACTCCACTGAGAGGGCAGAGGGCAGGGTGGGGCTCCGTGGAGGCCACATGAAATAGAACGCTGTGACCACCCATCACTAGCCAAACGGAGGTGCCAGGAGCCCTGCCATGGGCCTCGCCCACTGCCATGGGGATGAGAGGCTGCAGGGATGGGGGACATACCTCTCAGCCCAAAGGCCAGCTGGTTGAAGTGGAGTGGGGCTGGGGCTGGCCAAGTGGAATGCAAGTATCGTGGCCACAGGCAGCCTGCCTGGGTACAGGAAGCCTTCTGTCACTCTCCTCCCTGGTTGGGGAGCTCTGCCTCCCACCCTCAGTCCAAGGTCACCACACACAGCTGACTGCAGCAAGGTTGCCCCTGACCTGTCAACCAGAGCCCCAGAGTTCAGCAGAGCCACTGCCGGGCCAGTACTGAACCTCGCTCTTCAGCAGAGAAAGAGAGGGGGTAGTGTGGTGCTCTGAGAAGAGCTGGATTAAGAGGACAGGATTTGCTCTCAAATTTTCGAACTGCGCCCCTTTGGAAGGAAAAGTCAGTTTCCTTCTCTGGGGGCTAAAGAGAAAAGAGACTGTGGAACAGGCTTCAGGTTCTGATGCCAAGCAAACCTCTATGAGACCAGAGACCATGAGCTTGAACCGGAGGAGACCCCCTGACCCTGCGGCTGAGGGGTGAACGATGCATGCCTTGTGCCAGCTGATCAATTGAGGCCAGGGACTCTCCTGGGGTTTGGGCATTTAAAAAACAAAACAGCCACCTGGCAAGTCCAGGAGATGTCCAGATCATGGACAGATCAACTTGACATCCATGCCAAGCTCTCCCCGGTAGTGATCACCCCATAGCCCAAGGAGTTTAGAGAAACCTCAGGACCTCTACGGGGCAGCCGCTGTTAGTGCTGAAAAGTCAGGGAGGGAATATGACTGGAGTCTTTCTAGGACAAGGATAAAGTGACAGAAACCTGAGAGGATGAGATACAATCCAGGAGAGAGGTCCGAGGGCATCGTCAACACCCTACGTGTCTATGAGGAACCCGGAGCGGAGTGTGCACCAGAGCCCGGCTCTGGAGGCCGAGGAAGGAGCTGCACGTGAGCTGGCTCCTGGGCTCCTAGTCCATGTGCGAGAGCCTCAGCGACAAGCTCTGCTCATCCTCGTTGATGACCCGCGGAACACACATCCGCTACTTCATTATTCCCACGGTGACCCTGGGAAGTGGGTGTTGTTATCCCCATTTCACTGATGAGGAAACTGAGGCTTGAAGGGGTTTGAGCAATTGTCTCAGGTCACAAAATGAGGCAGGGTGGGCTGAGGTGTCCCCACGCCAAGCCCGGGACCCCTCGCCTCCTTCCAGCCCAGGCATGTGCAGTGTGGGCTGGCAGTTCCAAGGACTGTGACCCAAGCTGGTCTCCATGTGCACCCTGCTGGTGGCCTCCAGGTGACATGACCAGTGCCTGAAGGGTAGCAGAGAGCAAGGTCATTATGGTGAGTTGGTCTCTTATGGATTCATTCACTCATCTGATAGCCGCGTACCGACACCTGTGCTGTCCAGGAGTCGGGAACGCAGCATGCTGAGTCACAGCCTCTGTGCTGATGGTAGTGATGTCGTGGGGGCACAGCAGCTGCCTTGCGACACCTCTGCAGGGCACAGTGATGTTGGGGAGCCAGGAAGGAGCTGGGGCCAAACTGGGTCTGGAAAATGAGGAGCTGGCAAGGAAGGGTGGGGGCTTTCTCAGCAGAGGGAGCACAGCCTGCGGACCCTGAGGCCAGAGGCATCATGGTTAATTTGGGCAACACTGAGAAATGCAGTGAGTAGAGCGGGGTGGGGGGGCTGTTAGTTTCCAAACTCCCAGCCCCCAGGTTCTCGGATTTTGATAGACAAGCCACCTTTCCTCCAATCTTGCTCCTTTACTGCAGCTGAAGGTTAACATCACCTCCTGCTTCCCACAAAAATGAAAGGCAGCCGGGCAGGCAGAGGTGGCCCTGGGGCTAGTGGCAGGGGATAGGGGGTCAGGGGAAGCCAATTAGGGATCCCCAAGTACCTCAGGATTCCTACTGCTTGGACAGTCCACCTGGAAGGGCCCCAAACAGGTTTCGACATTGATCTCCTTCCAGGACTGCCAAGTAGGGTTGTTCAGACTGTGCACTGCCCAATGGGCTTTGTCCGAGGGGTGCCATTTGCACAGAAGGCATATTTATATGTTTACTTTTTCCATATTTATATTGTAACCTTGTCAAAGATGGATTGTTGATGTGCTTATTATGAAAAATGTCTGGCTTATGGCAGTTAAGTTCCATAATCTTACAAAATCAGTACATAGTGTCAATTGTGTGACAGATGAAAGGGTGTCTTGGCGAGCAGTCACCTGCCCCCTTCCTGCCTGCCCTTGGGGCTCACAAGCTGCCCCCTTCTCTCTGCAGTTCTTCCTGTTCATCCTGATCATCTTCTTGGCAGAGCTCTCGGCGGCCATCCTGGCCTTCATCTTCAGGGAAAATGTACGTACTGGACCCGGTGTATCCCTGGCCCCTGCTTCCAGGGAGAGGTCGGTGGCCATTCATGGCCAGCTCCTCCCTCCTCAAAGGGTCTCACAGAATCAGAAGCCTCCCATCCAGCAACTGCAGCCTAAACCATGACCGATCGCCCCAGCGAGGCCCCGCAGCCCAGAGAGACCCCAGCAAGCCTCTTCTTGCAAAGGCTTTTCCAGAAGGCCAAAGTCAGAGAAACTTTAAGGGTCTCTGCTCTTCCAAAGCATCCGTTGCAACTCCACATCTGGTTCCAGAATCTTCCATTCCACATTTTGCCCAGCAATAAATCACTGGACAGTCTGGGGAATAGTCAGAGAGGCTGTCCCCCAAGTACAGAATGTGTGATGTGCAGGACAGGGCAGAGAAGTCTCAGATTAGGCCCTGGTAAGTGTCCAACTTGGGCAACTTGCCCCCATAGTTCATCTTATCCCAGAGAGATGAGATCCAGCCACGTGGGACTCCAGCTCCCTCCCCTGAGTCTGTCTGAGCCAAACCTCACAAGCAAAGGGGGCCTGGAAACTAACAGAGGACAGGGAGGAAGGGCCAGGGGGCCAGAGACACCAGCTGGCCTGGGAGGTGAGCAGGCGAAGACACAGGGGAGGAGGGGACAGCAGCCTGTGGGCAGAGAGTGGTGCCTGGACGGTCTCCCTCTGCTGGGCACCAGCCCCACCTGGGGCCCTGCCCTTTCCCTGCAGCACGGAGGAGGGTGGTCAGACCTTCAGGGAATATCTTGAGGGGAGCAATGACTTCCGGGGACATCTCTGGAAACGGTGGATGTGCAGAGACCACCTCTGCACACCACAGCTTCTTCAGGGCCTGGGACCCAGCGCATCCGCTCAGCTCTGTCTGAGAAACAGCTCAGGGTGGAAGGGGTGGCACAAGGGGTGAGCCCCCGACCCTGGATACGCCTTCCCTCTGAGAAGAGTGCAGGGCCAGTGGAGGTTCCCAGGCTGCCCTGGCCTCGGGCTTGCTGAGGGCTGTGTGGGTAGACTTCCTTTTCACGTTGGGGATCTGACGATGCAGGGAGGCACAGGCCCGGGAAGTAGGGGGTATGGGCCCCTCACCCCAAGTTCAGGAGGAGGATCCCTGACACCAGGGCCCAGAGGCCTTCCCTATCTCTCCGGAAAAGCAGATCAAGGGAGAGGCCAGGGAGCGGGGCTGCACCAAACTGCCCTGAATCTCAGCCGGCCCCTCCCTCTGCCTCTAGCTCACCCGCGAGTTCTTCACCAAGGAGCTCACCAAGCACTACCAGGGCAACAACGACACAGATGTCTTCTCTGCCACCTGGAACTCTGTCATGATCACAGTGAGTGGCCCCAGGGA